ATAAATTAAATGTACTATATAGTAATAATTTCGTTATCAGTTGATAATCAACTTCGATTGTAATATTATACATATTGCATTAATGAAAAAAATGACAAAATTTATCATTTGGAAGAACTGTTATCACAGAATATCGTGTGCTGTTATCACTTATCAAATTCACTTATCAAACAGCAGCAGCAGCAGCAGCTACTCTGATACCGGCCACATGTCAAATATTCAATATTATATTGCCGTATTACATTACATTCACTTGTTTTGTTTCATGTGGCTCCGCGTTCAACGTGAATTAAACAGCAGACCTTTCATTTATAATATTATATTTTGTTTGGGAAAGCTCACAGCTACTGCTGTGCCTATTACACGTGTCAGCGTTACTCGTTGACGCAATAGTACTGCGGTAAGCAACAATTTTGGATAAACAATTTTATTTTGTTTACAAATTACAATACAGTTTGATGTGCGTTTAACGACGTTCGGGTTAATTATCTAGAGCATTCGTTAATTTTACGGAATACCTCTTCGATGGCGGAAAAAATTTACCACCGGCGTTTGGGTGAGTAAAAGTACTATAATAATGCTCTATTAGCTTCACTGATCCGAACGGATTGAGACAGAAAATATGTCAATAATTCAATCTAACCAAAAAAAAAAGTAAATCAGTACAGTAAATTAGTATCAGATTCAAAGTAAATCTTAATAGATGTTAAATATACGGTTGAAGTAAAAGTATATACTTTAAAAAGAATTTGTCATTAATACTAAATTATATTGTTACGACGAAAAACAAACAATACAGACAATCTTGCTACCCTTTGATTTTGAACAGTTAAACAATTGATTTTAACAATTAAATATGTCCTGAACGCGATTAGAGTAACCTATAAAAGTACAAAATAATTCAGGTACAATATCCATATATTGTATATAATATTATACAGAGTTCAAAATACAGTTTTAACAAATATAGTAATATTTGTCCTAGTCAATATTGTTACGTTATGCTTTTAATAATAATGTTTTATTATTTTATTTAACATTTTTAACACTGTTGTTGAACATTACCCGAAAAATGATTTGGCTGCAGCTATATTTATTTACTTAATACATAAAATGTTTTAAAAGTTTTATTAAATTCATTTTAGATCAGCATTCCTTAAGTGTTATTTTTCAAAACTTGTTTTTTAAGATATTGTCGGCCTAATTCAGGTATGACAATTACAAATTACGCCGACGACGTATAAAGTTAACCTAAGATTTATATTGAAGTCAAAACTAAATTACCGTACTAAAATGATTATATCAACTATATAAAATTTAAAAATGTTCTTATAATTTTTTTAATTTAATTTTTTGTGTCTTGTTTTAGCCGCTTCACATACCACTGCTAAAATAGCATCAATCGAGATTAAAGAGACCGAATCTTCAATCTCTATAAATGGTGTACAAGTGCCTAACTCGTATAAAGATATAGATTTGACCCGTTATATAGCCAGGCTAGTGTCAAATAAACAAGGCACATCGAATAAAGGAAAAACCAATTGTTCTTATTTGTATGGGAAAGACATAGAAGAACAATTGTTGGTAGACAGTTGGCTGAGTTTTGTTGTCGACGACGAAAAGAAAAATCAGGTCGAAAAACTTCAGTATTTGGATAAAAGTTTAAGTGCTACATCGACCACATCAAAATATCTGGTAGGTACGACTTTGACCATAGCCGATATTGTGGTATTCTGTTGGCTAGAAAATTTGCAAGACAAAAAAGCCATTTGCGTGTCAAACAAGCTCACTCACGTTGAAAGATGGTCACAATTCATTTCCTCTTTGCCGTCTTTCAAAAATGCCGAAGATAAAAACCAGAGTCAAACGAAAAATTCAAACCCTGACACGAAGGAACAAGGGAAATTTGTTGAACTTCCTGGAGCTGAATTGGGAAAGGTCGTCGTTAGGTTTCCCCCTGAAGCAAGCGGGTAAGTTTTCAAAAACAATAGAACACATTTATAAAGGATATTACAGTTGACAAGTAGGAACGTGTAAAATGTGTAAGTGTACCTAACAATGTAATTTTAGGTACTTGCACATCGGTCATGCAAAAGCCGCACTTCTTAATCAGTATTATCAGGAACAATTTAAGGGACGTTTGATTATGAGATTTGACGACACGAATCCAGCCAAAGAAAAAGAAGATTACGAAAAGGTTTCTAGCTGAAATAAGCTAAATTAAATTTTAAGTTTAAACGTTCAATTACACTTTTTGTTGTAGGTTATTTTGGAAGACGTAAAACTACTTGAAATCAAGCCGGACGTCTTTTCGTATACGTCAAATTATTTCGACAAAATGATTAGCTTGTGTGAACAAATGTTAAAAAAAGGAATGGCGTATGTCGATGATACAGATCCGGAAACAATGAAACAAGAACGAGAAAAGCGAATAGAATCGAAAAACCGCAACAATTGTAAATATTTATAAGTTTGAAAATGGATTTTAACTTAAATAATTTATCTTGTAAAGATATCGCGTTTAACAAACAAATATCTTCCATTAGCTGTCGATAAAAATGTGAAATTATGGAACGAGATGCTGAGCGCGACCCCTACTGGACTGAAATGTTGTGTCCGAGCCAAAATAGACATGCTCTCGGACAACGGATGTATGCGGGATCCTGCGATTTACCGTTGTAAGCCTGAGACTCATCCTCGTACTGGAAACAAATACAAGTAAATCAAATATTTCTTAGTTGTTTCTCGTATTAAAACATGTTATATTTAAATATTTAAATTTCTTTATTTTCAATTTATAGGGTCTATCCCACGTACGATTTTGCGTGTCCAATAGTGGACAGTTTGGAAGGTGTGACACATGCTTTACGTACAACTGAATACGCCGACCGAGATCAACAGTACTATTGGTTTTGTGACGCGCTGGAATTGAACCCTCGGCCTTATGTCTGGTCGTACAGTAGACTGAACATGACCAACACTGTTTTGTCTAAAAGAAAATTAACGTGGTTTGTTGACGAAGGCTTGGTGGATGGCTGGTAAGTGGTAAATCAAATTTCTAAAGGCTAAATCGATAGCTTAGTGCACACTTATCATGTCGCAAAATTGAATTTGTTCAGGAGAGCGAAACAAAGTTTCTAACGATTTACTTTAAATTTAAATTTATTACTATTTTGAGATCAAACATTTTTAAGTCTTAGTCAGTATCAAACACTGATGCTCATTGATATCAAAAAGTGTATTTGGAAAAAAAGTCTACTTGTGATAAGTGTGCATTAAGCCATCAATATAACAAGTGCAAACATATTATACTCTTATGTTTATTTTTTTTTTTTTTTTTGTAAGTCGTTCATTTTACTATTTCGTGTCAAACAAAGTATTTACAATGTAATTTGTTTGTCTTTTAAAGGGACGACCCACGCATGCCTACTGTTAGAGGAGTGTTAAGGAGAGGTATGCAAGTGGAAGCTCTGCGTCAATTTATTATTGCTCAAGGATCTTCTCGTACAGTCGTTACGATGGAGTGGGATAAAATTTGGTCGATTAACAAACGTATAGTAGACCCTGTGGCTCCACGTCATACTACGGTGGAACTAAACGCATCAGTTCCGGTCTATGTTGAAGATGTTAAAGAACCGTATGTTATAAAGAATGTACAGAGACATCCAAAAAATCCTGACTTGGGCACAAAAGACGTATGGATCACTCCTACGTTGCTTATCGATTATGTTGACGCCGAGGGCTTGGCTAGTAGTGGCGTTGGAGCTAAAGTCACGTTCATAAACTGGGGAAACGTTATTGTGACTAAAATCGACAAGTAATTATTATAGAATTCTGAGTTCTTTTTTTTGTTTTTTTTGTATTTGTCGCCTTATTTTTGTATTTTATACTAGTTCAATTTTAAATATAACCAATTAGGAGTGTTAATATATTTTATTGATTGATTTTTAGAAATTCAAGTGGCAAGATTGAATCGATCAACATAAAAACAGCATTAAATGATACCGATTACAAAAAAACCACAAAACTTACATGGCTGCCAAAAATTGTACCTGCTGAAAACAAATCTTCCGACGTACCAGCGCTTGTACCATGTTTTTGTGTATTTTTCAATCACTTAATAAGTAAACCTGTACTGGCTAAAGATGAAGATTTCAAACAGTATGTAAGCGACTTGGAAGATCTATCGTCGTGTAAGACTCGTTTAGAAGTACCAATGTTGGGTGATCCAGAGTTGCGCAATGTGAAAAAAGGCCAAGTTATACAGTTGCAACGTCGGCCTGGTTACTTCATATGCGACACTCCCTATCAGCCGTTTAGGTATTTATACATTTATGATTTTGTTTTTTTTTATATTTAATATTATTATAGGCTATGACTTAATTTATTATTGATAAGTAGAATACATTTTACCAATATTCTTTTAAACATAATTCAAATATATTTTACACAAACATTTTTAGGATTTTGATTTTAGTGTCATTGTATTAGCATCAAAATTACTTAATGTTATTATTAAAAATACTGAAAACATTTTTGTCACACTCCAATGTACCGGGGGGTCCAAATAGGCTATTAAGAAATAGCTCTTATCTGTTGTTTACCCTGACTCATATTTTCTTCATAAATCGTAATTTCCTTAAAAATATAAAAAATGTACATTGTTTAACTCGATACTATTTTTTTTTTCAGTATTCACACAAGCAAAGAATGCCCTGTAATCTTGTTTTCTGTACCAGATGGTCATACCAAGCAACAAGCAACAGTTAGTAGTAGTAATTCAGCAGCATCAGAAAAAAAAAGCAATCAAGCTCAAACTCCAAATTGTGCAAATACTACCAACCAAGAAAATGAACTTTACACTCGTGTAACCGATCAAGGTGACAAAGTACGACAGCTAAAATCATCTGGTGCTAGTAAAGACGTTGTATCTGAAGCTGTTAAAGCGCTCTTAGCATTAAAAGCAGAATACAAACAAGCTTCTGGAAAAGATTATCAACCTAATCAGCCCCCAGCAAAATCTGCTCCCACACAGCCGACAAATGCACCTAGCACTACCAACCAAGAAGAGCAACTCTATGCTCGTGTGACCGAACAGGGTGACAAAGTACGACAGCTAAAATCATCGGGTGCAAGTAAAGACGCTGTGTCTGAAGCTGTTAAAGCACTCCTTGCATTAAAAGCAGAATACAAACAAGCTGCTGGAAAAGATTATCAACCTAATCAGCCCCCTGCAAAATCTGCTTCCACGCAGCCGACCAATGTACCTAGCACTACCAACCAAGAAGAACAACTCTATGCTCGTGTGACCGAACAGGGAGACAAAGTTAGACAGCTGAAATCATCGGGTGCTAGTAAAGACGCTGTATCCGAAGCTGTTAAAGCGCTCTTAGCATTAAAAGCAGAATACAAACAAGCTTCTGGAAAAGATTATCAACCTAATCAGCCCCCTGTAAAATCTGCTCCCACACAGCCGACAAATGCACCTAGCACTACCAATCAAGAAGAGCAACTCTATGCTCGTGTGACCGAACAGGGTGACAAAGTACGACAGCTAAAATCATCGGGTGCAAGTAAAGACGCTGTGTCTGAAGCTGTTAAAGCACTCCTTGCATTAAAAGCAGAATATAAACAAGCTGCTGGAAAAGATTATCAACCTAATCAGCCCCCTGTAAAATCTGCTCCCACGCAGCCGACCAATGTACCTAGCACTACCAACCAAGAAGAGCAACTCTATGCTCGTGTGACCGAACAGGGAGACAAAGTACGACAGCTGAAATCATCGGGTGCCAGTAAAGACGCTGTATCCGAAGCTGTTAAAGCGCTCTTAGCATTAAAAGCAGAATATAAACAAGCTGCTGGAAAAGATTATCAACCTAATCAGCCCCCTGCAAAATCTGCTCCCACGCAGCCGACCAATGTACCTAGCACTACCAACCAAGAAGAGCAACTCTATGCTCGTGTGACCGAACAGGGAGACAAAGTACGACAGCTGAAATCATCGGGTGCCAGTAAAGACGCTGTATCCGAAGCTGTTAAAGCGCTCTTAGCATTAAAAGCAGAATATAAACAAGCTGCTGGAAAAGATTATCAACCTAATCAGCCCCCTGCAAAATCTGCTCCCACGCAGCCGACCAATGTACCTAGCACTACCAACCAAGAAGAGCAACTCTATGCTCGTGTGACCGAACAGGGAGACAAAGTACGACAGCTGAAATCATCGGGTGCCAGTAAAGACGCTGTATCCGAAGCTGTTAAAGCGCTCTTAGCATTAAAAGCAGAATACAAAAGTACTGTCGGTAAAGAATATCAAGCTGGTGCTCAAACTTCTAAACCTCAATCAGCGCCACCATCTCAGAAAAATGTCGGAAAATCAGATAAAAAAGGTGATAAAAAAGTAGACCAAAAGAAAAAACAAGAAAAATCAACAGCTTCTGTTAACGCCAGTGAGGCTGGTGTGAAGAAAATTACTCGGTTAGGATTAGAAGCCAAGAAGTTTGTAGATTTACCTGACTGGTATTCTCAGGTGTTGACTAAAGGAGAGATGATTGAGTACTATGATGTTAGCGGCTGTTATGTATTAAGACCATGGTCGTTCGGTATTTGGGAGCAGCTACAAAAATGGTTTGACAATGTTATCAAAAGGCAATTGGGCGTTCGCAATTGTTACTTTCCAATATTTGTGTCGAAAGCGGTTTTGGAAAAAGAAAAAGCGCACATAGAAGATTTTGCACCAGAGGTAAGAGTTATATAAAAAACACTTTAAATTTTATATCTTTAACCACTTTTAACAAATTATAATATACAATATTATAAATTATAATATTACTGTTTAAATACAGTGATATGTTAAGGTTATATATTGCTCTTAATTATAAAGACAACGATTGTTTCAATTCATTGTGTTTAATAGTTTCGTTGTATGTTTAAAAATTACTATAGGTAGCATGGGTAACAAAATCTGGCGATACAGAATTACAAGAACACATTGCTATCAGACCTACTAGTGAAACTGTTATGTATCCAGCATTTGCAAAATGGATTCAATCCTACAGAGATTTGCCTTTGAAGTTGAACCAATGGAATAATGTAGTGGTACGTATATGATAAAAGAAAAAAATGTTATTGCGTCTCAATTTTGTTGACAAATTAAATTGAGAGAATAATTCGAACGTTAATAATGCAATTATTAAAATAATTGAAACCCATTGAAATCATTGAAATTGTCCTAATGTTTTCTTTTAGCGCTGGGAGTTCAAACATCCTCAACCGTTTCTGAGGACTCGCGAATTCTTATGGCAAGAAGGTCATCATGCGTACGCAACCCAAGATGAAGCCGAACGGGATGTACTCAAAGTCTTAGGTAAATCATAATCGTCAAAAAGGAAATAGTCTTACAGCAATGATTTCTTTTCAATACATAAAAAAAAATATTGCAACATTGTCGTTGGACAGTATTGAACTGTCGAGTGTCATCGTTTCGGAAAGAAGAGCGCTTCTTCTTAACCCGCGACAAATAACTTGAGAAATTTGATTTGATTGTAGAATTTTATGCCAATGTGATGTTTTAGATTTCTATAAACAAGTGTACGAAGACTTGCTTGCGGTACCCGTGGTGCCAGGGAAAAAAACCGAAAAGGAGAAGTTTGCTGGCGGCGTATTTACCACCACCGTCGAAGCCTACGTTCCGGCGAGCGGTAGAGCCATTCAAGCGGCCACCTCACATTACTTGGGAACGAATTTCGCACGAATGTTTGATGTTCAGTTCGAGCATCCAGACACTCATCAGCCTGAGTACGCTCATCAAATATCTTACGGTATGACGACACGGACCATTGGAGTGATGGTGATGGTGCATGGCGATGACCGCGGTCTTCTGCTGCCTCCCAAAGTCGCAACGGTTCAGGTAACGGAAAACAATGGGATTGTTTATGTATTATAGGTGTTGTTGTAGCTGGACGGATTGGTTTGAACTTGATAACAATTGATTTCAGGTCATTATCGTACCGTGTGGCGTTGGCGCCAGCACAGAGCCGAGCGTCAAAGATCGACTGTTGAATTTGTGCGATTCCGTGAAGAACGCACTCTTGGGAGATCAAGATCCGGTCCCGTCTCCAAACAGTATTCGAGCGGAGACCGACTTGAGGGATAATTATTCACCCGGTTGGAAATTCAACCACTGGGAATTGAAGGTACTATAAATGTAAAAAAAAAAATGTTTTCTCATGTTTGTTAACACTTTGTGTTTGTTTTTTTTTTTGTAGGGAGTTCCGCTCAGAATTGAAATCGGACCTAAAGACATGGAAGCCGGCCGTGTAATCGCTATCCGTAGAGACACTAGCGAAAAAATAGAAGTTTCCCTGGGAAAAGAAGGAGACCTGGATAGCGGGTTCCCGAAGAAAATCCAAGATATTTTGGACCGCGTACAAAGTTCGATGTTGGAAAAAGCCAGAAACGAAATGAACGCCAAAATGGTCGTGTGCAAAGATTGGTCAAAGTTTTGTCCTCTGTTGGACAGCAAGCATATTCTTCTGATACCGTTTTGCGGGCGACCGCCGTGCGAAGACCTCATCAAAAAGGACAGCGCCAAAGACACGGTAGTAGAACAGAGTTCCGTCGAGGGATCCCAGGAGCAGAGTACGGCCACTATGGGCGCCAAGAGTTTGTGTATACCGTACCAACAGCCGAAAGAACCTGAAAATCAAATCGGCCCCAAGACGCTTTGCCTGCATCCGGAATGTGGACAACCAGCCGCTGCGTTCACGTTGTTCGGTAGGAGTTATTAATTATCTGGGAGAAAAATGTTTGTATTTTTTATTCATACCGTGTAAAATCATAATAATATTTATAAAATAATATTAAGAATATATTTATACGAGTTAATTATTTAAAAATAAAACCCCGTAAAGACAATATCTATTACAATTTTTTTTTCCATAAGCCCCTTAAAACGATAACTAATGAGATAGAAATGAGATTGCAAACTAATACTGTTTTAGATTTTGTTGCATTTTTTATCCAAAACACAAAAATCTGATGTCTCAAAATGTCGGTCGGAATTTTTTTTTGAAAAAAAACATTTTAACGTTAAAAGGAACAAAATCGCTTATTATGTTTTCTACTTAAATCACTAAAAACTGTTATTTTATTAGTAATTTTATTAATATAAACTCTAACCTTAAACTTTAATACAATAATTGTTATAATTTAACGATTAATACAATATTTATTATTACTGTTGCCTTCTCGTACTAAATAGTCTCATTTTTTATATCAGTGTTTTATTTATTATTTTTTTTATCGTGTTCACCATAAATTATTTTAAGTCCAAAGTCAGTAGATATATTTCAAGTATTGTTTTCTATATTGTGTGTTTAACATTAAAAATATGTAAAAATAAATACTTATTCAATAACGTAGCTCCTGTGCGCCTGAACTTGTGTGGCGCAATCGATTAGTCGTCGGCCACGTCACTAGAGGTATTTGCTGGGTTCGACGATTCCCACACAAGTTGAAACAAAATACTTCACTCCCCCAGAGTAGCTAAATTAATTACAAACTGTCATCTTTTGGGCATCTCGTCCCAAATTGAATTTCTCAAAGTAAGAATTATGCAAAGATATGGATTATGGCAATCGTTGGCCGTTAACGGTAATTGTTGTTATTCGGGTCTAATAGTTTTATCGTGTGTATTGTTAAATTGTCAAAACGAGTCGAGACAGGCTTAACGTTAATATATGAATTGAAATAAATATTTTATTTTTTATTATTAAATAATCTTTCTTGCGTAAATCATAAGCAAAGCGATAATACAATATAATGATATCTTAGTTTTTTGTTTATTATTAACAGTTACCTAGTCAAGTGGCAAGACTCGTTTTGGTCAAACTTAGCAATAGGTTTTTGTAGACTGAATTGTTTATTTATCTAACTAATTTTGTCACAACTGTAATGTTCAATTTGTAATAAACTAACGAGTAAATATATTATTGTGAAAATTAGTGACTAAATGGCTCTATAATAATTCTGTGGCGCTTGGAATAAGTCTGTAAACTTGTTACTTTTGGGAAAATACAACTTATTTTTTTCACTATAATATTACTACATCAGAAGGTCAATTTTAAAATTGACAACATTTCACAATTATTGGGTATCAAGGTGAGTTTCTTGAAGCTTATAACGATATTGATGATTCAGGTAGGTAACCAAGTAATAGATTCAGTTATATAGTTTTAATTGGTCAGTTTATGAAATTAATTTTTTATACATGACTTAATTAATATTTAAATTTGACAAATGTATACCTATACCTTTAAGTATGGTATTTTTTTTATAGTAGTATAATATTTATTTTTGGTCATTGTATTATATTTATTATTAATTATAGCTTGCCACGCATATACCTATTTCAAATAGTCAAAATTAAAACAAAATTGTCTTGAAAAACATGGGTAGTATTTTGCACTATTTATATAAAAGTGCCAAAATGCTTCGACCGAATAATAGTAATATTTATTGGGTACATCATTTGATATACTTATGTAGGTATACATTTTCATTAACCCTTTCGGTCCAAAATAAAATTTAGAGAATATAATTTATTTTTTCTAATACTTACCACAATAGAACGTTTATAATTTCCTTGATATGATAACGGTCACCTATAGATGGTCTATTAAATTATAAATTTTTTATTATTATTATGAGTTCAAAAATAATAAAAAAAGACTACAATCGGAAATAAAATAAAAAAAGGTTTGTCGAGCATTAAATAGTTATGCTGGGCATAGATATAGCAAACTGAAATGAAAGGTCTTTTTATCATGGAAAAATTGAGGTGAACTTTTAAATGATGTATAATATTATATTATGTATCAATGTTCGAATTTTTTTTGTACGATATTTTTTATCTGAAACATGTTAAATACGATAATTTAATAACAACTATACGATATATTTGGTTATGCAGTTGGCAACACTGTCGTTATCACATGTGTTAGTATTATCACACAAATAATATTAAAAAATATTGCACTTTGTAATGTGCCTGGCGACTGAAAGGTTTAAACTTATTAGTAATAAGTATTAGGTACATACTACTCGTATAATAATATATATAGGTATTTATGAAAATACACAACGTTATGCATAATTGGCTAATAATAATAATTACTCGGTGTTTGTATAGGTTTACTAAAAGTATATAATTTATTCATACAATATTAATATTATAATAATATCGCCGACGGCAATAATTACAGTCGTACCAACATATAATCATAAAATTAATTAAAAAAATAACGACAATAATTTAAATAATTTAAACAACGAATAAATTAATATAATAGCTATTTACAAAGAACCAAGTTGGTACGTTTTTTTTTTTCTGTATTAGGCATACATATTTTTTTACCTTTTTCAGCAGCTATTTTATTTTTTAGCTCGGGCTTTTATTTTTTTTTTAAAGCGGTGTTTTTTTTTTTTTGGCATTTTCAAACGACCACCACCAAAGGCCGTTGGTGGTGCGGCGGAACCGTTGCGTTAACGACGGCGGCGGCCGATGCGTTGCCGTTGCGTTCGAGGTTATTTTCGACGGCGGGGGTGGCGGGGGCGTCTTTTTTTTCGGCCGCCGTCGCGGTGGACACCGTCGTCGATTGGCCGCCGCCGTCTTGCCGGTCGTCGACGATGCTGTTGTTATCGTCGTCGACGTCGTTGGCCGCGGCCGCCGTTGCGGACAACGTTTGGTTTTGGCCGATCGACGACGCAGCCGCCGCCGACGCCGCGTATTTGGCGCTGGTGTCGTACGCCTCTTGCGAATCGACGGCCGCCGCCGCCCGCGGTCCTGCGCCCTGGTCTTCGGCCAAGTACGCCGGCGGCTCGTCACCGTTGTCGAACCCGAATTGCACCTGGACGGACGGCACCATTTTCGGCTTGAAGCCGCCGTACTCGATGTACACGACTTTTTTGCTCGGCTCGCCGACAGCCGCCGCCGCAGCCGCCGCCGCGTCTCTGCGACCGCCGCTGTAGTATTGCCACGGTCTGGCCGACGATTTCGCCCTGGACTTGCGCGAGTGCGGGCCGTACCTGTAAGCCTGAGGGTTTTGCAACTGTTTGGGCACGTCCACCGTGGACTTGACGTAGTATATCCACGGCACCGGGTATTGCGAAGTCCACAGCGGGTGACTGGGCCGGAAAGGGGCCACGGCCGCCGCGTGCTTGACCGGCTCGCCGCCGCGGTTCAGTTGTTGCTCGTCCTGCTCGTGTCTGGCGGCCACCGCGTTCTCAGCCAGCAGCTGTTGTTGTTGTTGTTGTTGTTGTTGTACGGCGATGGCGTCCGCGTGACTGTCCTTGCTCGGATACGGCTGCGGCGGCAGCCAGTACTGCGGCGTTCCCTGCCTGCTCCTGCGCCTCCGGTTGTACATCATCATCCGGTTGCCGGCCAACGACGCGCCGTTCCGGAAACCGACAGCGGCGGCCGGTTGCGGGTACTTGTAGTAATAATTATTGTTGTTGTTGTAGTAGTATTGCGGCGGTGCCGCGGCCGTGGCGGCCGCCACGAACATAGTACCCTGTTGTTGTTGTTGTTGGTTGCCATAATTATTATTGTTTTTGTAATAACTATTGGGATTGCCGTTGGGCTGCGGTTGTTGTTGCGGCATCGGTTGAGGCTGTTGTGTCTGGACCGCGGCAGGCGATTGCTGCTGCTGCTGCTGTTGTTGTTGTTGTGGTTGGTACGGCGGCAACTGCTCTCGCTGCAAAAGCAATTGCAATTGTCCTTGTTGCAGCGGCGGCGGCGCCTGTTCGGGTTGTTCCGGCACGCTTTCGTTGTTGTTGTTGTAATAGTAGGAATATTGTTGCAGAAACAGCAGCGGATCCGGACGGACCGGTGACGGAGATATCGAATTATTGTTCTCGTCTAACAAGCCGGGTTGCGGTTGTTGCTGTTGTTGCGGTTGAACGGCTGCGGCTTGCGGTTGCAACTGTTGCGCGCCGTCGTCTTGTCTGTAAGTATCCTGTTGCACCGCCGTCTGTTGTTCCGCGGCCGGCATCACGGGGTAGACCAGGTTGATGGTTGGCTGTTGGTCGGCTTGCTGCTGTTGTTCGGGGTAGTAGAAAAAACCCGTCGGGTCGGCCAAATTGTTTTGCATTGCCGGCGATTGGCCGTCGGAAGAGGCGCTGGCCATGATCTCGATGTGCTGTTCGGAGGCGCTGGGAGACGCCAGGATCTCCACGATCACGGCCGGCCCTCGGGGTGTGACCGCGGGGGGTGGAGGAGGCGCGCCGTATGGAGGTTCCAAAGCTGGAGGCGTCTTGGGCGCCGCCGAGGCGTCTTGGCCCGCAATGGCGTCGCCGCGCAAAGGCCACGTTTCGCCGTTTTGGGTCATCAGAAGGGGCGCCAACAACAGTTCTTGTTGTTGCTGATACGGCTTGTTCTGGTCGCCGTTCCGCTGTAACAATACAATATAATAATAAGATTAACATTGATATATGGTATCCAGTTGAATACATGGAATTTCATGTCGCCATTTTCGCGATACCCTCCACTTTCACGTGATAAGAGATAAGAGATGTGACTAGAGATAACATATCCATGGTTCAATCACAGATTAGAATAAAACAAGTAATAAATAAAGTATATATGGAGAAGCATCACGGAGGGATTATGGAGGTGAATTAATAAAGATAGTGGATTAGAGATAAGATATTAGAGATACTAGATTGAAGGATATATCTAAGGATATGTATTGTGTATCTGCATGAAGTGCGGATACTATTCAATTTATTTATTATTAAAACCGTAACGGTTATTTGAGAAACGCCTAAAAAATATTGTTCAAGTTAAGTTTTAGTTTGTTTCATTCATCTTCATAGATTTTAGAGACACGTCTTATAATAGGTAAAAAATATATAGAAGACAAGATTTCCAAAGGAACCTCATATGCGTTTTGCATTATCTACAATGCTAAGTTCGATACGATGAACGCAAAAATACATATTTTATAACTTTTTTAAATCTTTGGTACGCTTTTTCTGATTGATATTTTGAAAAACGCGCATAAGGTTCCCCTGAAAATCCTGTCCTTTATATTTTTTTATCGTAGTTGTTTTATCTCTACTTTTATCCAAGTGGCTTACACGGCAGACCAGTTTTTTAAATTTTATCTCTGCAAACATTTTAATCTGAAATGACTGAATTGGGTGTTTCTCAAAAGAATTGCATAGTTGCAGAACTGGACTAGTCGATTTAGCATCCTTAGGGCTCTTTGCATCTGTTTTATTTTTGGCTAAATAAAGCTGGGAAATTTAAAAATTCGTTTAAAAACTTTCAAAGATTTTCTCGAGCACTTTGAGTTGTTTTTATAATTATTTTTCTCCAAAGTGCAAAGCGGTGTCTTTTTCACAACTCTGGAGGCGTTTTAAAGAGTAACTATACATGCGTTCAGGGAAAATAATTAATCCAATTTTGGTACTTTCTTTTTGTTGTTTGAATTGCTTTTTTTTTCTTACATCTACTTCTACACTCTTAACTTGACCAGTTTTATGCGAGTATACTTTTTTTTTTTTACTTTTAATATTATATTTCCTAACTGTTTCTATTTAAATTTTCGCATGATAACCGTATGTACTTAGGATATTTAGGTTTCTTGTAAAAATAATAATTGATATTAGTGTTGGAAATAAAATCACGGGTTACAGTTTTTGTAGGTTTCAAATTTCATTTCGTTTTGGGGTCAGATCACATCAGATTCTTTTAATTATTTCTGTTAGGTTTGGTTAGGTAAGATTTGGTCTGGGCGATTTAAAATAAAAAAAGGTTAGGTCAGATTTGGTTAGGTTAGGTTAGGTTAGGTTTGGTTAGGTTTGGTTAGGTTAGGTTTGGTTAGGTTAGGTTTGATTAGGTTAGGTTTGATTAGGTTAAGTCCTGCTGATATAGTAGTACATTTAATTGAGTTATAAAATATTGGTTATGAGTTCGCTTAAAATGTTCACTTTTTTTTTTAAATGCTGTTTTCACCGAGGTCTTTATGTTATTATTTGTAATAATAAATTATTATAAATATTTATATTAGTAATTTTTCCAAATATCCAAACGTGATTTATACATTAAAAAAAAAAAAAAAGCGGTCAACATTTTTACTTAACCCAACCGCGTTGTCGTTCAGGTCTTTCGAGTAAAACGTCTATATAACAACGGTATTCCGATACAAAACGCACGCGAATCTCTCCTTATACGTTTTACACCGTTATAACTTTCAAGGAGAGTAGTCCTGAGTATAGTCGTGGTGTACATTGAGGTGTATAATATTTGAACGGCCAAGCAAGTTAGAAAACTACTAAATAAATAAAAAAAACGTGAATTGTTTTTATCGCACAACAATGTATCGCGTCGTTGTGCAACCACAACGAAGATGTGCCAAAACCCTGTTGCTCGTGTCTAGGCACTTTTCGAATCCTGTTCCGATACCTATATTATACATTATATTACATTAATACCTTGATCGTTGCCCACTTGATCTCTCCCTTTTTCGACCACCGGACTATGTATACCTGTATAGGATATACACGGACAAGCCCACAGCTCCGTTGCGGCGTAGCCGGGCTTGGGTTTCACTCACGCTTTCTATCCTATAATAGTGTATATAAAAATATAACGTGTACACACCAGTCCAGTCCACCAGGGTACTTCTGTTATATAGAAATCCGTACTTGTAAGTACAAATCGTGTATGTAAATACATATTATATATATATATATATAACCAAACACAAACACACAACTAAGTAGTATATATATATATATATACCGGTAGTACCGGTATCCGCAGAAGACGTTGTGCTGGGCATCTGGTATATATATATATATATATATTCACAAATTTATACTTAAGAGCGAAGGTTTATATGTGTTGATAGCCAGAGGGTTCACACACACACACACACACAGCAGTGTTGTTTTGTCGGTTTCTTTACACAAGACCGGTATTTCTCTGGTGTCTATAATGTATTATATACATATATATATATATATTTCTTTCGGCTTTCGCTTTCTTTTCACTACTACTACTACTACTTACTACTGGTACCAACCACCTATACCGCCGCCGGACTGTATTTCTCCTTGGCGAAAAAGGCAATAATAATAATAATAATATAAATCAGAGTGGTCGGGGCGGTACCATTAATATATACCGTTTAAATCGATTAATTACCTATGCACGGACTGAAGTGAAAACCGAGGTTCGATTTGCACGGATGGATACGCACAATATACCTAATAAACATATGCATATTACACTATATTTAAATAACGATCGTATTACGAAAACGTTAAAAAAAACCGATCGAGGATTAATGATCGATGATCCGGCGTTCGAAGCGCCATTGCGAATCGTCTGGCCGGCGGTGAGGAAGTCTACAGAAACTATCAGAACTGAAAGTGAGCATTGTCGGTATAACATATGCTATTACAATATTATTGAATTTTTAATACCAGCATGGCACGAGGGTTAGGATAGGTCGATGAACATATTTTTCAAAAAACTGTTTAGTTCCGTTCAAACGTAGCCCCGCCTGGCTAATTTGACTGCGGCCAAAGTGTAATTTACCCCCTTTTTTGGTGGGGAGGGGGGAGGGAGGTTAAGTTTGACCACAGATTTTTGACAAAATTGCATAATATGAAAACTACAATACTTTTTAAACCCTTTTGAACGCGAATAATCTGATCTAAAGGTTTACTACACGAAGAAAGCTTTTTAATAAAAATAAACTTAATCTTTAAAACGGTACTTGCCCGTTTATCGATTTCGGCCGAGCCCTGAGGGAGGAAATGGGACGTTGACAACAGAAATGATCTGTACGATTTGCGCCTTATTTATGATCGTACCTAATACGGTAATATACTATTATTTCAATAATGCTCTACCTGATCCGAGGTTTCCGTGGCCGTGGACAATGTATTCAATGAGCTGAAAGATGACGATTCGGTCGACACAGAAGTAACTGCTGCTTCGACGGCTGCGGCCACTTGTGAAGGCGATACGGGCTCTGCTCGTGTAGTAACCGCGCCGGTACAGAGTCCCATGATAGCCAGCAATAATAGCCCGTCGGTACGGTTCTTAAAAAAAAAAAGACAATAATAATAAAAAAAATGAATAAAACCAATTTTTTATGCAGCGACTACGGTATTAAACCGAACAATATATTAATGTTACTGAATTGGTCGTGGCCAAAAATTAATTTCTCTAAACGTTTCCACGTTACTTTTTTGAACTATTATTTTACACGTGGCTGAAGATTTGGAATATACCTACTAAAGCGTTTTTTTTTTTATGAAATTTACAAAATATTATAAGAGAACGCCTCGCGTGCCGTGTAAAACCGTGTTAAAACAATGGTTAACGTTGCAGCTTTCTATAACGTTATGTTATTTTTAATGAAAGCGCACTTTAATGGAATTGTCGTGACTTTTACTGTGCCCCACGAACAGTGTTTTTTTTGTTTCGTTTTAATTGAATAGGAAAAATAATTTTGTGTATTTTAGCACACAATTTTGTCTTGCATTTACTGTCAAACGGTCTCTTCGGTTTGTTTGTTTAATAGTGAACACCTTGCATAAAGGGGCGAAGTCGCACTTTAAGGTTCGTTCTTAGAAAAGCTGTACTTCAAAAGCAAGGGGCTGTTTCTGAAAACGTAAAGGCTGCAATAGTCCAATACAGAATTCTCATTAAAAACATGCACTATAGTTTTAGCTTTATAATTATTATTAAATCGTTGTCTATCGCTTGATAAAATATAGACTGTGTTTCGGCCTAAGCATAATGAGGGTGTAATTGATGTAATATATTTCTGTTTTTAGTGAAGTAAATAATAATAATTATATTATTGTATTTTAAAACGAATTAATTTTGTTTAATGTTGGACGACATTTACATTCCAATACCATTTGTAAACCTAATAAAACCGTTGAGATTTCCCAGACAACAAATCATAACAGATCTAAATAATACATTTTATAGCCAAATATTAAACTTTTTATTTTCGTATCGAAATTAAAGCAAATTGTGAGGTAACCCTCAAAACAAATTCTGTGTGTTTGATTTTATAATGTGTAGACGGAGCTATCCAAGTCATGTCCAACGTGCCAGAACCGTATACTTTAATTGAGAGGACTCACGTTTATTATTAATTATTATTCAAAATACCATTTTTCAAACTTAAGTTTTCTAGAAATGTCGACTGGTCGACTTTTGACTAAATCGTTTTGGAATAGTTTCCGTTTAAAGTTTTAGGCGGTAGTTGGACCATTTTAATTAAAAAACTCAATATATCTCAGGAGCTTATTTAAAATTGTAAAAATTGTTAACAGTTAAAAAGAAATTTAAATCGAGTCATCTAGAAGGATATACACTGACTAAATATTGATAAAATATTTTAAATAAATTTTACTCACTTTCCAATTAATTAACACACCTTATAATAACACAATAGACTTTAAGTACCCCCCTCCCCCCCGCGTAGGGCACTGGTTATGCTCGTGTATCTATTTAGTACATTTATAATAAATCAAATTACACTAAACTGTCATCACCCAGACCGGAAATTAAAACCATTAATATTTTAAAAACATTATGTAAACGTTTTAATAAGTAATAATTTTGTTGGTCGTTAGCGGTTTAAAACATAACATGAATAACTAATTTCGAAATAAAAATATTATGTTATAGGTATGCGCTGCTTGATTATCGGGTTGTAATTTCATCTATATAATATGTTTATGATATTTTATGACTTATAAATCCTTTTTTTATAGATATCCGGACGATTGTTTGCCACTGATTGTTGAAATAGTCGGAGGCATAAAAAATATGAGTTTGATTTATTATAAATTAACCGTAGCCATAGGTACATCCATATTCGGAGACACTAGTAGTATGTATACTTGGCCGGATAACAATCCTATTGTCGAGACGGGCAAGTTTCGTTTTCCATTTTGATCTAATATAAACGGTACAACATCCACTCTGTTTTGTTTGATTATTTTTTTTTTTTATATAGATTGATATACCTACGTGTTGTGAACGTTGCAGACTATAATATATGTTCGTTTGATTTATGTTCACTCTGTAATTTAACGCCGACCGAACGCTATTTTATCGTTATTGCTTTTTCGGTTTTATATATTGTTTAACGTCCAGTTTCGACTTTCATGAGATTGAAATCAATATCGGTTAAAAAGTAGAAAAAAAAGCTGTCCATGAAAGTCTATCCATTTTATTTAATATGTCGACAGGCGCGATTCGGTTACAGTCGGAACCATCGTTAGGACTACTAAAATAATGATATATTAGATGTATATTATATCTTATATATTTAATAATTTTAAAAGAATTAAAATACAAAATATAAAATATACTTCGGAGACTTACAATATTGTGTACCTGAGGCAAGCGTATTTCTATACACAATATATGCATTTTATTGTCTTTCATAATTACTATTGAAAACCCAATTGAACGATAACCCATAATAACATTATATTGACAGTATTGACAGTATTGACTACGCTTTATTACATTATACAATAATAGAATAATAATTGTAAACGTTTACAGTGGATTTGTTGATCAATTTTAGTAATTCAACTCAGCTCATAGTTTTGAGATACATTTAAAAATATTTTATCATAGTCATGGGTAATAATAATATAATAATATGTAAATAAAATATAATATATATTTTGTTTTTTTGTCATATTTATTGCAAAAATGTCCAAAAAAACATTATGTTGAAATACATTTTGCTCGAGTAAACGACTTGAAAATTGTCAAATTTAGTTTATAGTTTTTCTTAAATATATATCTAGAGTATATGTACATACTCGGTATTATACAGTACATAGCTTTAAAAGGACGTCGTACGTCCTATTTAATAAGTAGTTACCTAGATACCAGGCAATTTAGTTTGTTTGCAAAATCTTAATTTAAATGTTACACCGTGATGGTTTTTTTTTGTAGTTAATTCATTGTTCACACAAAATAGAAAAAAAAATACATTTCAAAGTGATTTTACAGATAAAACACCTCAAGTTAAAAAAAGACAGAGGACAAGATCCCCAAGTAACCATTCATCAGGCATTTTGCATTATATCTACAATGTCAATGTGATGAATGCAAAAATAGATTTTTTTTAAACTTTTTAAATCTTTTTTAACTTAGGTAAAATCGCTTTGAAATGTACTTTTAATCGTTTTTACCGTTTAGAAAATCATCGACGGGACGTCCTCTTAAAGCCATACCATTCCCTGCTGGTTGTATTCAAGTCATAGATAACTTACCCGTTTGGGCGTCGCACCCTTTGACCGACGGCTTTGGCACTGGTCCGTGTGGAAGTTCATTGTCGACTTCGATATGCTTTATACTTGGATTGGATATTGGGTACTTAGATACCACCAGCTGCTGTGTTCAAGGTGTTTTCCGTACCAGAATCACCGTCAGACTACAGACCGCAGTAGCCATTCACTTGGATTGCGCGGGAAAATCAATAATAATAATTCGATTTTATTTTTATTTCAAAAAACTACAATTTTTTTAATATTTTAAAAAAACTTGGTAAAAACAACAAATTTTTATACGAATAGTATATTTTAAATTTAGTTGTCTCAAAATTAGACCACCGAGCGACGCTTTATACCGCTTGCCGTAGGTAGGTTACCACAAATAACCGCAACCGTCGACAACTACCACGATACTGTTTCGATTCGAGTGCGTGTAAAAGCTTTAGCGTAGCTCTCTGGACGTGTGTGTGTGTGTGTGTGTGTGCGGCGTTTAAGAGTAGAAAGAGAGACGAAACGGCAATATTATTATACATAGGAAAAAAAACTGGTTCTTAAAAATCCAACAGAGAAATATAATATAAACAACTCTCGTTTTAACGCGCCGCGCCGTGTGTGTACCTATACAGAGAGACCCTCGAGCGGTTTAGCGCGCCCGAAATTTCAACCGGTTTCCCGCCGCCATCACACTGGACCTACCTTGTAAGTATAATAATATATAAGCTCACTTATGATAGGTATACATATATATATATATATATATTTCATACATATACGGATATACCGTGTTGTTTTCGCACGCCACTAATTATTCTTCACAATATAATAATATAATCTCTCCGGGCCGCGGTCCCAATAGGATTTATAGAGGTGTGCGACTAGATAATATTATAAAATATATATATATATATATACATATTATATTAGATATACTTTGTGTATATCATAATAAAAATAATAACATAACCCAGTGTGTGTGTGTGTGTGTGTATCGGACCAACTGGTCGGGTTGTAAATTATTATTAATAATAATATATTTATAATATTAAAATAATATAGACCGGAGAAATTGATTTAATTCCATAGCAAGTCCGTCCGTCTCCCTCGCATACCTACCTAGTCCTTCAGACGACGTGGGAAAAGCAGGTGAATTAAAATAATAATAATAATAATATATTAGATCGTTTAAAATAAAAAAATATATATACATACACTATAATCCTACTATACACTATAGTGGATATAAGTTATGGACGGTTTATAAAAAAAAAAACCATCTCCGCCAAAGCGAAAACAATAATTATTATTATATTGTGAGCGCCTCGCTATTTTTTTTTTCAACTCATTTCGAACGCATCGCCAAACACTGTTCACGGCTCATTTCATATTTTGGTAATAATATAAAATATTTAATACTTTAAAAACGTTTGATTTTTTTTTTTTTGCTTTTTCATTTACACGAGTTATATTTTTATTGCATCCGTTCATATTTTACGATATAATATTATGTCCGTTAAAAATCTATTCGCGAATCGCGATACTAAATTTGTATTAATAAAACGCATAATATTATATTTATACCGTTTCACTGGTGTCATTTATTATGAAGCGAACGCCACAATACGAGTCCGGCAATAAAACTTTAGCGTTGATTGACTTTGGCCAAAGTGTGTGATAAATTATAAATATAATCCAACATCGATGCCCAAAGAAACGTTTAAAAATAATACACTCGCACTTTTCTTCGGCTTAAGAATTTATTGCAATTATAATAATTTTACTTTCTTGATTTTCAAAAAAAAAAAAAATCAAGTATGCTAATTGTAATGGTTAAGCAAATTTGACGTTGACGACTTAAGAGTTGCTTGTGAATAGGAAAACAAAACAAAATGCTACACACTGATAACGCGAAAACATCTATCTTCCAGATATTTGTCTTAGCTTTAATATAAGATAATGTACAGATAGATCGGATTTCATACCCATTGGGTATTACCCAATTATTTGAATAAGAAAAAAGTTACAGCTTATAAAAGATTAACTTTTTCATAAACTATAAGAGATAGAAAGTTGATTCTAATATCGTTAGAAAGAGCTTGTCAAAAAGATACAAAATGCTAATAAAAATAAATTGTTTTAGACAATTAAAAAAATTGTCAATTTTAGCTAAATTATTCTTTAGCGGTTAGCCGATGTTTGAACTTTGTGTTTTATTAGTTACTTTGGGCACCGCTAACACAACTTGATCGTTGAAAACATGTACGGCTTTTAATTTTTAACTTTGACACGTTTAAAAATAAAAATGTAATGTATGTAATTTCATAAAAAAAAAATATAAAGGGCAAAACTCAAAATAATTAGATTATGTTTTTGGGTATGCTTCTGCTAAAGAATGGTTGACAATTGGAAAATAATATATTCTCTATAATTACAAAAATAATAATAAAAGGAAAATTAGACTCAAGGTGAATCTAAATTGTATTTTCTCATAGTAAAAATTAAATTTAAATTTTGCATAAAAAAAACTGGTATAGAAATGCCTATTACCACTAATTACACTTTTTTGGAGATAGTTGTTTTCTATTTTTAGTGGCTTGTTATAACGCCCGATATTGAAAATAGTTTATATTAATTATTAAATTTATCCGCCGGACATTGATCATTTGATTAATTTAACAGGAATTATTTTCAACAATGGATATTGCGATAGCTGTTTAAAATAATTTCTCATGTAAGTACGCAAAATTTCAACTAGCTGAATTAAAAAAAAAATGTATATATTTTCTCATATTTGCAATATTCACACTTATTTAGGTAGGTACAAATGATAAAATAGGAGATAGTTTTAAAAAAACTAATACAAACTTAAGTATGAAATGCAGTATTTACGCGTAGAAAAAAAATCGGTTATAATTTAATCACAAAAATATACAAACTAATTTTAATCTTCTTCATTTAGGCCGTACTTCATTTTTACTTTTTCCAACTCTGCTTTTTTCTTGTCCGTATCCAATTTTTTAAAAGCTTTCGTTGACTAAATACAAAAAACACAAATGTGTTATTAAGTTTATAATTAACAAAATAATCAATGGGAAGATGGCAAAACGATATCGTCTTCATCGTAAGATATTTTATGTCCATTCATTCTCTTACATTGTCAGTTTTTTTTTTATTACTTCATACACTGTCTTTGATTCAACTACTATTTCACTTTCCTTCTTTTATTATTTTTTTTAAACATTTATCCATTCACTCTTATTTTTCCAGTTTCAGATGACAATATTATTATATAATGCCAGTTATAACATGTATAAGATATTATGATCACCTGATAATATAACACGACCAAGTATCGATTACAAACGTTGAATCCTGATAAGTGATCACAAGCGTTTTTTGCGTCAAATATATCTTCATACACAACAAAAGCTGTTCCTCTTGTATCTGGGGTATTTCCACTGAAACGCAAAATAATCTTATTAATAATTAAAACTTTTTGCATGACTTTGTAAATTATTTCTATGAAACCACCAACTTGAGCTATTTACGGGATGTATTTCAATCCTTAACTAAGTATAAAATAATAGTTGGAATTTTAAAATAAATAGCAAATGGCAGTAAAATATTAATTCAAGTTCAAAAAAGAATGTGATTATATTATTGCTGTGTCGTTATTAAAAAACAAAATGTAACTATACAACAATTTCACAAAAACTTTGCAGATTAAAAATTATATACTACTTATATAAAAACAATTTAAAAAATTTACTTACACTCTAATCTGGCGAATAGCTCCGTATTTTCCAAAGATATCGTACATTTCTTCAGCTGTTATTTTATAAGGTAAATTTCTTATGTATAACACTCGGTTTATCTCCGGAGGTAATCTTACCTAAAAAAAAAAATCCATAAATCTTTTAAATTTACATAATGAAATATTATACACAATTGTTTTATTACAATAAGTATAATCAGATATTTATTATAAACAATCATTATCAAAGAAAATAAAGAAGAAAATAATTTTTAATTATAACACTTATGACAGTAAACATTAGTCATAATAAAATGTATAATGTATTAATACTATTATTATTAAACTCAAGTACATAAACTATAAACCTGGATAACAGGTACACAATAATCCAAGAGTTTACTTTATCTCTAAATTGAAATACTGATTAAAACTATAAAAATGTACAACGTAACAAATATACCTATTATCGCTATAATGTAAGTTTAATTTTAAAAAATTTAATAACAATGGAGTAAACTGTAAACAAATACATCTAAAATCCAGTAGGGTTACCTATTTGATAGGATCAACATACTAATACGATATTCTTCATAGCGATTGAAGTTATCGTTAGATAACAATTACTATAACCAGAAGCGGTGGTTTTAGGACTCAAATTTCGTACGGGCAAGAGTATCTACGTATACTATTGAATGTGCTGTGGGTGAAACTTAAATCTTAAATTTTTTTGTTTTGCCTTACACTCACAAAAAAAAAAAAATTGTTATGGGCAACCAGACAGTTGCCCGTACGCTAGAACCGCCACCGACTCTAAACCTATTGCTTCTAAAACAGTTCAAAGTGGGTGGACGTTTATTACAACGGATTTAATTTATTTCAGCGATAGCTACAGTTTTAATTTCTTTAAACCGTGATCCCTTTACATTGTAAATAGTTCAATTTTACTTACATTGGTTTTTCTTTGCATACTAGCTAGAGCCATTTTTCAGATATTTGTGTACAGTAGGTGTTATATTGTATTGTATATTATTGAAATAATTTGGAAAACCTGATTTGTAAACAAACGTTTAATTAAATTTCCGCGGTTAAGTCTACGAACAACTGCAATTAATTATTAAACGGCTTTGTAAATATTTCGGCTATCTTGAGTTTGTTTATCAGTTGATAAGAACATTTAACACTATTTTGTTTGTGTACACTTTCTTATCACAGAAAAATGTTATCATCTCATTTAACAGATCCCGTTTGAAGACTGACGCTTGCCGCGTGGAGCGCTGCAGTTGTATTTCATGTTATTAAGTTTCCTAATTCCTTCATCAATCATCCCTTTTCCCTCACGAATCCGGAATTACCAACCATCTATTACTTACACTTGACTTACCTTGAAAACTTTTTAGTTTAAGTCGATTTTGCTGTGCAGTTATGAGATATATAGTACATAGGGCTTAATGGTTGTTTACTACTTATTAGATGTTATTTCTCGTGTTGTGTGCAGGCTACTCACAGCATGTCCCGTGGGATTTCAAAATTATGATATTATTAATTACCTTAAGGCTTAATTATACCCAGTAGCCCGTGGACCCGGCTTTGTCCGCGTTTAATGCAATCATATGGTTTAAGTGAAAAATTGCCTATACAATGCGCCTTAAAAAAAATCTAATTTTGAATAATCTCTTATCCTGTTATCCTAGGATTGTCCAACCTTAAATACAAGCGAAATGGAAAGCGCCAAATTTTATTTTGCCGTACAGTTTACTACAACTTCTCTATAAGAGTTAAAAATCCGATTTTTGATTTTTGTTTAAAACATTTTAGTATAAGCGTTTATATTTATATTTTTTCATAGTTTTTTTCGAATAAATCGAACTAATTTTCTAATTGCTAAATCAAAAATCAGCCTCTTAACCCACATAGAAAAAATAGTAAGAAATACTTTGTATATTTCATATGAAAAAATAAATATATAAATATATTTCAGTATAAAACGTCCCAAAAAAAATACTAAACCTTAGAAAACCATTCGATTATAATATCCGTACATAGTATTTTTCAGCGATATAAAAAAAAAAAAAAAAATAAGATTAGTTTTTGGCCCAACTGAAATACTATTTTAAACCCTTCAAAGCCAATTGTAGCAAAAATGAACCATGTTTATTACACTGTCTACATTGTCAGAAGTAATACATTTAATATATTTGTAGGTGGCGCACTTTAGTTATTAAATAAACTGTAGCTATCTACCAGATGTTATAAAAGTAATTTGTTTAAATGTATACTTTTCCCAATTTCCTGATAATTTAATCTTCCTATACAATATAATTGTATATTATAAAATCAGGCATTGGATAGCATTTCCATTTCTTCTGAGCAAAAGGTTGAGATATTATTATCGGCAATGCTATACATAAAAAAATATAACGCAACAAATTTAAAACTATTTTTACTTTCCCCACAAAGTTATATTAGAAAAGGGTGTGATTTGTAAGTTGAGAAATATGTAAATTGTATTACTGTTGCGGAAGTTTTTCTGGAGGACAAGGGGAGATCTAATACAACTTTTAGCCGGATAAAGTACCTTCTGTGTACGATTTATGTGCTATAAAATTTATACCGGGTGTACCGCAAGACACTTATTTTTGAATAATTATTTTCATCCACCACTCGTAAACTCTAATAACTTTGAAAACGATTATTCAAACCGGGTTATCGCCCAGTAAAAATATTTAGCAAATATATCTTTTTTTAAAAAGTTGGCTAAATTCGTTTATATCGTTCCCGTGTAAGCTTTAAAAGTTGATAGCGCTCTGAAAAACGCAAAAAAAAAGTAAATAATTCTATTTTAATTTTATATTATTGTACAATAATACGAATAAAAATATTTTGTGGTTATTTAAAATGTTGCTAAATTTTCTAGATTGAATATTTTCAATCTATACATAGAAAATTGGATCGCCAACCGGTAAGTTCCACTAATTGTAAGTAATAATGAATTATGACTTTTTATATACTTTGGAAACGTGCTGGCAAAATATTATCTTTGTGCAGATAAACACCTAATTAAGAAAATGCAAATTAAGGTGTTGCTTGGGTCTTTTACCGGAATCACGTCCGAACGATTAATTATATTATGTTTTTATCTTGATGTCGCGTGCTGAATAGAATTCCTTATTTGAGATTTGAAAGGCCAAACTTAATTAATTTTAGTGCACACACACAGAATTCAGAATTTGTAATGACATTAAATCAGATAGGTAGAATAATATGCTAAATGGGATTTTGAATAATCCGTTAATAGACAGTAAACACTAATTATATGAAAGTTGGATTTTAGATAAACCTCTATCATATACAGCTGTGCTTGGTATTTTGTTGGATTTTGTTTTGATCTACGCTTTCAAAGTGGGATTGTAGAATGATTATCTATTTCTCGAAAGCAGTCTCATGACAAACTTTGAGGCTTTATACTTAGGTAAAATAATATATTTCAACAAAGTTTATTTCACCGAATTATAATCAGCTCTGCTCTTACTATACTAATTAGTCTAATTACAATTATTTTCATTTCAAATTTGGTGTATTAACGTGTAACATGACTAATCTATATTTTGATGTTTATTTAAATACTATAACAATTACCGTACGAGTAAATAAACTATGTAATGTAAATTTATTTAACTGTATGGATAAGTGGTGAGTAATAGTATCTACCTACTGTTAATAAAAAACTAATGCAATCTATAAAATATAATCATTACATAAAACTACACTACTAGTGGACATAGAACACAGAACATAAAACTACTAATGATTTATGTGCATTAGTAATAGTAGTAAATGATTGGTTTTATTTTATTGTTTTTTTTCCCATACGAAAGAAAATATTAACTACTATTAATTTTATTATTTGTTTACATTCAGACATGATTATTTTTATACCATTAGGCTTTAAAGAGCAACGGAGGTTTTACACTTTTACAATTATTCTAGCTAAATATTCTATTAGAATGTAAAAATTAATTTTACTGAATTGACTTTGTTATTTTTCTAAGTATATTTTCTGTTTTAAAATGTTAACGTTAAATGTTTATATTATCTTCATTAGTTATTAAAATAGATTAAATTGAAGGGTCGTCGTTTGAATGTACTCAAAGAAGTATTATTATTTTTCAAATTTGGTATTAGAACGTTTGTACAAATGTAAATATTCCAAGTCTACAATTTTACTACCTATACTATATCACATACTATGCATTTGACCAATGTTTTTATTGATTTTTTTTTTTGTTTTGATGTTTTAACCAAATTAACAATAAAATAAACGATTAAGATTTAAGTTATTTACAAAATAGTTTTTAAGAAAGCCAGTACAGTTGAGTCGAGGCATTAAGGTATCAAAGCATAGTGACACGGAGAAGTCACAGGTCTACAAAAAAAAAAGCAATATAATTTAAAAAAATAAAATTTTTAATTTTTAAAAAATGTAAATGGTTTTCTACAAATAAAAGCATAAAAAAATTATTTCGCAGAAATTTAATAAAAAATTTAGAATCTTACAACACTTCTAAATTTGTTAATAAAATTCTATATAATTTACTTCTTAATTTTTAACGCCATTCTCTATAATTATAACGATCAATGAAAATCGACTTTAGTTTAAGTCATAAATACTCAAAATATAAAATTATATTAAACATTTGAAATATTATTAATAGTATAATATGTTTTTTTTAATTCTATTATGACGTACAAGAAAAATTGAAATCAAAAGTGGACTTTATTAAAAATCAAAACGATAAAATGAAGAGCACGCTGTTTTTTTAAAAATGATTTATCATTTGTTATTATTCATCAAAATATTGCTCTCATTTTTAATCTTGACGGTTTATTTCATACAACTCAAAGTGCTAACTAGATGACATTTGTGATTTATAGAGTTGCTACCCGAAATACTTTCTTTTATATACCTCACTAAATGTAATCCTTTTTTTTTGTTATTTTTATCATGCACACTCTTATATAGTGTACATAGGATTTGTAAGAATGAATGACCATAATCTCTAGAGACTGTGATAGTACTTAATTCACCAAATTTCTATAAAAAATAGAGGATTATAGATGAGCATAAATTGTACAACAATGGTATTATCGAAAGTGTCATCTATTGAAAGTATGTACTTACGTTATTAATAAATCTATTTTGTTTGTTCGTACCTATCCGTACATTATCTCTGTAATGCTTGCCCTATTGGGTGTAAATTATATTAATATTATTAAATATAAATAAAAGTTCTGAAGAAGAGTTCCGTTTCCTTTGAATTTGAAATCAATAACAGTACAAACTGTGTTTGCTGTTGTTCTGAAATATTTATGGATGTACGAGTTCTGCACACAGGAATTATTGTTCAACAAATAATAAATTGTAATAACCAGCAAACAGTATTAACTTTAATGAATAAAGCATTATCTGTGTGCGGTAATATTAAAAATGAAGATAGATCAAAACTAAGGGATGGAAACGTTTTCTTTAGTTCTCTTTTTCGAGCAAAGTGTTGGGACTTAAGGTCTGACAATTCGTCTTTATAGTGCGGGCCGCCAACATAATAACAATTCATCTTGTTTATACATACTAAACAATTTGCTAAAAGTTCAAACTCACGAGCTTCTTGTAGAAATTAGTCTTTTAAAAAATTTTGAGGACACACCCAAAGGAACATCAGATTGTCCATATAAGTGGATTTATTGGTTGGCAGTAGGAGCAAGATCCGATATTTTCAAGACATTTCATGATTTGTCTGAAATATTTTGTGGTTATACCAGTGACCAGTTGTGGATGTGAAAGGAGTTTTTCAAAAATGTCCATAGTCAAAACAAAATTAAGAAGCACCATGAGTAATGACACAAGAAAGACTCAATGCATTATTATTTTTACTTATTAGACAAGAGTTGGTGAGTAATATCAATGTTGACGAAGTTATTGATGATTTAAAAAATGTTCCAACAAAAAGAAGACTTGTTCTCTGAAATATGTCATAAAATATTATAAATATTATGTGTTGTTACTATTATTATTATTTTTACATGTTATGTAGGAACTATTTCAAGAACTTTGTTATTGAACAAACTTATACGTTATGTATTTTGTTAATTGTGTAATTCATTATACACCGTAAAAATGTTTAAAACTATTACAATAGTTTTTGTTTAATTTTACAAAATTGGGATACGACTATATGATTATTTAAAATAAAGATAACTAGATTAATGTGTGTCTAGGTGATTTAATAGATAAATAATATTTCTGGAGTTAAATTTAAAGGTAGGTACTGAAAATCCTGTACATTATTAATTGTAAATAGATAATACACTTTTTTTCAAATTTGATTGGCCCCCCCCCCTTTAAAACATGACCTTGAGTTTATGGGGCTCTTTTCGGTTTATGAAGGTAGCGCCGGTCATAAGCTAGGCTGCCGCTGCGGATGAAGTCTAGTCATGCCTATGTGTGGGCCTATGCAGTTTATACAGATTACACAAAAATCTGTAATCAAACTTTTTTTTTTTATAGGAAAAGCCAAAAAAAAAACGGGGAAAATTTCGATTGTAATAATATTATCATATAGATCTACATTTTTAGTTCAGTTAGGCCAAATTACCAGTTTCTTTTGTTATAATTTTTTTATGAATGAGTAGGTACACCAAATAAACATAAAATTATTTTTTTACCTGATACTTATCATTATTATCGTATTAACGTTTGTTCAAGGCTTAATGTCACACATGTTGCATTGAATAATAGTTTAATGTTGCTGATTGTTGATTGTAACCAAATTATACTTATTATATACAATTGTAACCAGACACCTACTATCTACTATCTACAATTATTTTATTTTATTTTGTACATTCAAAACAAATGAGGAGAGGCCTACTGTAGGTATTAATTCATGTATGCCGCTATTGAAAGCAGAACTTGTACTGGAATTTAATTTGCTTGAAGCTATTTGCCGTAATAATGTTTCTGCTTACTATTATACTAATTGCATGTTGTGTTTTAAGTACAATAGGAAACAAGCCACCTACGTACTTCCCAAATTTGCCAGTGGTAAAGTACACAAATTAAAAATAAACCTGAAAATTGATCAGATTGAATTATCAGTACCTAATTTTAAATCTATGATTTCAGGGAGAGTATAAAACAAATCTTAAGGCTGTATTTCCATGTGAATCTACTGCAAAATTCAAGTTGCAATTTAACATGTATATAAGTAAAAAAAATGCCACTAATTTTGAATTAAGAGGCAATATGACCTTTCTTATTCCATTTGACGATTCAATTAGCGTGAGTTAATTTTTATGTTCCCATAATAATTATAGCCTTTAGCTGCAGAAATACATATTTATTTATTCAGAATTTATGGTCTGCAAAAATATTTATAAAACATAGTAAAATTCAAAATTTAACTATACAATTTATTATTTATATATTTTAAATATATAAAATATATAAAATTCCTCTTTGAAGCGTTTATTTGAATGTGATTTTATGTGATTCTTAATAACAGTAATAATTCCAATCAGTGGAGAAACTAGAAATCAATTTTGGCGAAAATGGGGAGGGGGGGGTAAGTTGCTCAGAGCAAAAAAGTACATTATTAATAAGTAAAAATGACTTTCGTAGAAGTAATTTTTTAGCGTATCTGCTATTTTCTTTGTGGATGCTTAAAGACCGATTTTGATTGTGCTATTAGATAATTAGTTAGATTTATTAAAAAAACAGCTATAATGAAGTAAAAATATAAACACTTTTAAATTGAAAGTTATAGTACAAATTTGAAAATTAAAAACCTAATCTAACCTAACTTGATAACAAAACCTGTTTTTTTAACCCGTTCGGTAGGCATGTCAAAAAGTGAATTTGCGTTTTAGTCAGAAGAAAAGTCGAAAGAACTGGAAAAAACGACCACAATAATTAAAATAGTTAAAATAATTATGTATAAAAATAAGATAATTGTCCGCTTCTTCGACTTTTCTCCCCTCCTTTCATCCTCTTATTTTGTTTTTATAACCCAGTTAAGTTTTTATGAAACCAGATTGAAATTTAAAATTTCTGTGTAAAATTATCTTAGTTTTTTGAAAAAAAATATTAGAAAAATCCTCAAATTTTAAGCAACATGAAAAAACCATTTTTTTTTTATTATAAGCTCAATTTTAATAAGTTTTTGTTACTCAAAAAAAAAAAAAAGCTTTTTTCAGACAGCTGAGATTATTTGACATAAAAAACTGATTTGGAATAATTTTTTTATTGTCAAAGATACAATAAAAAAACGATAAAAAAATAAGTGTAATAATTTATACGACCATGAACAAAATAATAAAAAAAAAACATTCACACCCCGGACCCTCTCTCTACCTGGCACCTGCACCTGATTCCAATAGACTTTCCAGACAGCAGAAAAATAAAACTATTTTACACGATAATCAGATTGTTTTTTTACATATTTAAAGTATTTTACAGTTATTTTTTTGGCAGAAAAATAATGGTCTGCAAAATATTATTCACCAAATTGTGTTAATATTTTGCACAAAAGTATACATTGTGTTCTTTGGTAGCTTAATATCAATATGGCCAAAAAAGGATCAATCGGTGGTTGGATTGATAACGCACATGTTTACACCTCGACTAAAGCTTGTTCGAAAGTCAAATCTTTATTTGGAAGCGCTTGGTATGCTTGTATACAAGGATTTCGTTATTCTAATCCAAACTGTCCAATACAGCCGGTAAAAATTATTATAATTTCTTTGGCAATTATTTATTATTACCTCTTGATCGAAATCGCACTTAATGTTTTTTATTAAAATTTCCAAGTAATTTTTTTTAATAGGCATTTTTTAAAGTGTCTCATACATTTTATCATATAAAATATTTTAAAAATTTTTTTGTCTTTGTTATAGGGGGCTTATGTGTCATCTGGAATCGACATTGACAAGGTGTTAAATACCGATTTCCCCAAGAGATTTTATTACGGGGAATATAAAATGACAACAACGTTTACGCGCAGTAGTAACGGAGAAAAACTTGGTTGCGGTGTTATGATTTTAGATGTTTTACGACCCTGGGAGAGTTAAACGTTATAATACTTATCAATTATAATCATGAAGTATAAAAATTGTTCGTGTTTCATTGTATGCACTGTTGTTTGTTTAATTTGCTTAAATTCTCCGGTCCGGGTTTAGTTTAGATGTATTAACATCGTCAATAGCTATTATTAACAATACATTATAAATAAAGAAAACTTTTTGTGAGCTTTTTTGCGTCTGTATACACTGTACATTTTTCAATACTGGATCAATTCCTTCGAGTGGCAACTCTATAAATCACAAATCGAGAAACGAAAAAATTATTCTTATTTTCTGTTAGCATCATCGTCTACCCGGATGCCATGTGAAATGTAATCATTTGATACAGTGGGTGGATTGATACAATAGTTCATTACGAATTATTTATAAATCAAGCCTTCAAAAACGCTTGCTTTTATTCTGGTTCATTATAGATTAAATATGCTGCAAAGTGCGATAGGAGAATCGAAATCAATAAAAATGTACTTTATTATTATTCTGATTCCGTCTTTCGACAGCGTGTCGTCGACGAGCGATAACTGAACGCGGCGAGAATTGTATAAAATAAACCGTCAAGATTAAAAAGAGAGCGATATTTAGATGAATAATAACAAATGATAAATAATTTTTAAAAAAACAGCGTACTCTTCATTTTATCGTTTTGCTTTTTAAATCAACTTTCAATTTCAATTTTCCTCGTACTTTATATTACAATTAAAAAAAAAACAAATATTATACTAAAAAAGTTTTTCAGCCGAGTCTGCAACCACGAAAGAGCATTTTCATGTCTCGTTGAAGTACCGAATAAATGTACAGTAGTGGTGGAATTATACATAATGATATAGTATATTAAGAAACAGTAACAAGCTAGTATATTAAAACATCTAATTTCTGGCTAATATTGTAGTGTTTAATATCTGGCTTAAAACAATTCATAGAGAATTTGGGCCCTTAAACTATTTTGAATTTATCATTTAGTTCTAATTTGAACGTTGAACGTACAACATATCTCTTATCTCTTATCTCCTATATCTTACCCCTATCCCCTACCCACTATCTCTTACCCCTATCTTATAACTCCTATATCTTACCCCATATCTCAAATCTCTTATCCCCTGTCTCATATCTCTTGCCCCTCTTAACACTTTTTTCGGTTATGTGCAAGAGCTAAGACATGAAAATGTAAAAAACATGTACTATTTATAATATTTCAAATGTTTAATATAATTTTACAATATTTCAAGTATTTATGACTTAATTAAAATGCATTTTTTATCGTTATTATTTTAGAGAATGGCTTTAGATTTAAGAAGTAAATCACATTGAATTTTATTAATACAATGTATTAATGTATTAAAGATTAGGTCATATAACAGTGTTGTAAAATTCTTAATATTTTTATTAGGTTTCTGTGAAGTTATTTTTTTTGCTTCTACTTGTAGAGAATCATTTACTTTTTAAAAATATTTTAACAATAAAAAAGCCAGTACAGCGGTGTTGGAACATAGAATTGATTGGACGAGGAGGTCACAGGTTTACAGGCATTCATACAACTGAAAGTGATAAAATTACTTTCAAATAAACGCTTCGATGCGAATCAGTAGTTAGTATTTTCAACCCAGTAAAGTCCAAACCAAGCACAGTATAAACCAGCACGGTAAGAAAGTATTAAAGTGAGGTGCAGTGTTTAAAAATAAGTATCAAAGCGTTTATTTGAAAGTGGTTTTATCCGAGTAAACCAGTACAGTAAGGTCAAGGCATTAAAATGAGATCAACGCATGGTGGGGACGAGGAGATCATAGGTCTACAAGAATTATTATTATTAAAAGTGATAAAAACACTTTCAAATAAACGCTAAGATGCTAATTTTTAAACACTTGTTGTAGTCGTGGTTGAATTTCGACCTTCATAGATCGATTAGATATAAAACAGTTTTTTTTAGAATTACATTTCCAATTTATACATATATTATAATTTTAAATATATTTAAAAATTATTGGGCATATAAATTATATAATAACTCATGCAATGCAAAAATAAACACTTAACGATTTCAAAACCTCATTTTTAGTAGCTCTACGAGGTCTCTGAATATGGAATTGAAACTAAAATGTTGAACTTTTCATATGTATATTAATTTTGTCTAAATAAAAATAAAATAATCCAAATGTTTTTTATGATGTTTCTGATACTTGAGACGGAGAATCTGACAAAGTTGTCACTTGTATTTTCTTCGCTTGACCGTGCCACGTCGTCTTCGACAACACTTCAATTGAATAAGTTGAACCGGGTTTCAGATTGTTTATCTATAAATCAAATTATTCACTCAGATTTAAAAAAAATTGGAAAAATAATTGTCTTGTTTAAATTGATGTGTCTTAAATTTTATTAATTCTACATTCAGATTAAACGTGTTGGGTAATGCCGGTAATTTTCCTTTAGTATCCCTTTTAAAATAATTGTTGACAGTTTTTGTAATTTTGTTCCGTACGCAAACTCTTGTAAATCTAATGCAGATACATAATTCAGCAGTTCAATTGACTAAAACTATGAGATCACTTAATTTTGTAAAAAAAATTCCCTTGTACCCTTTTGGTTATCGTCATTTAATTTGGTTTCTATTATGATTAAGTTGTTACCGTATAATTATAAGTTGGCATTTCTTCGGTGACTTGCAACTCCGCCGTTGGCAAGCTGTTGCAACACGAATTTAAGTCCACGGCCGATATTTCCTCGGTGTTTATGATAAAGACCTTTAATACACCGTTTAACATCCACGGTATATCCCATTCCAGCGTTATGTCAGTGTCGCCAATAAACGAACTCCTAAGATTTCCAGGTTCGTCTGGGGCTGTTCAAATATATTCAATTGAACAGATGATGAAATCATAAGGATTTTCGTACAAGCTATTATTGCTATAATGATATTATATTATAACAGAATTCATGAAATTTACATACCACCATCGATAGTGTTAAAACTGACAGATGACGATATTCCTCCGTTTGGATAATCAACTGATTTGGCTTTCATCTATTAAAAAAATATTAAGATATTAACTTGGGTGTTTTTGACGATTTCAAATAACAAGAGTAAATAATTGGAAATACTTTAATTGTGTATTCAGTACTGGGTGTTAGATCAACAACGGTTGAACAATAGTAGTCTGGCCATGCTTTACACGGCGACGGTTCCATTGTGATTTGATTTACCATCGTTTTTTGTTTTTCGTTGTAAACATGAATTATAAAACCATTAGCCTGGGAATCATTTGAATATTTCCATCTAAGACTAGCGGCTTTAAACTTGGAATTTTTTTTGTAAACAGTCAAGTCTTCTACTGGTGCTAAAACTAAAATAAACATGTTATGCGTTAAGACAGCGTTTCTGTTGAATGATAATAAAACTTACACTCCGTTTTTGTTTTAAATGGAATCGACAGCATGTAAACAGTGTTAAATCCTATTGTTGTTTTTATGTAAATTTGTAACTCGTAATCGGTGTTGGGCGTTAGCCCAGTATATTTTATTGAGGTTTCATCCGTTTCTTGAACGTTTTGTGTTCCATTCTTTAAATTCTGCATTAAACATTTTTCGAATAAATCATTTTGTTTTTAAATACCTAATAAAAATCAAGCCACCAGGCATATTTGAGAGGCCTAGAGTAATATTTAATGAATCTAGAACCGAACCAAAGCCCCCAGTAGTAGTGGAATTCCGGAAAATTTGACAGAGGTTTTTGTAAATAATAATATGAGTGTAAAGAGATAGAAATAAGATGGTTGCCTACTGATAAAATATATATAAGTGACATTAACGATGAGAGTCAGCTGATAAATTTTCAATCATGAAACACCACGGGACTTCTGTAAAGATTTCATGCTTTAACGTTTCAGCTTCAGTTCAACATCAATATTATATATTTATATATATATATATATATATATATATATATATATATATATAACATTTGTAATCAATATTAAAAAAAGAACTCCTGCACGAATACTACTCATTTTAATTGTAACTTATCTGTTCATAGCCACAGAACATATTAAAAAAATTTTTTTTTTTTTAAATTGATTTCTAAATTATTCCTTATATTTAGTCTCCAGCAACATGGAATTAGTATTAGAGAAACCTGTGGTGGGATAGAAATGACAGTGAAAAGAAAGTGAATTAATTAATGAAACACGATAACAGGCAAACAATTAAATGGGAAAATAATAAAAATGAATACTACATAACAACAATAAGTAAAATATTATGAAGTAAGCGAAAAGGCCAGTTGCAGTGTGGCTAGAACGTCAAAATTACACTTTTTCTCTGATATATATATATTTATTATATTTATCTATTGATCTGAATAGTTTATACGGATTATACTGTTTAGGGTTTAACAATACTTATACAAAAGTATTTGTTTGTATTTTGTATTATAGAATGTTACAGCTGTAGATATTTTTAATCTATGGTTTATGCTCTCAACATCTGTCCACTATGGATACTATGTTTTAAATATTTATATGAATTTCCAAAGGTAGAATTATTGGCTTAAGTTGAATTACCTTCAGTATTAAATGGAAACCCTTCGGAGGTCCATTGAGTTTCATACAATATTGTTTATCGACCATCCACTTTATCAGTGCTGTTTCGTTATCAAAGTACAACGGGTGGCTCGGGTCGATAACAGGCGCGAACGTCGGTGCTATAATTTGAAACAAAATGTATAATTAATAAATATTTAAGTTTACAAAAAAACCTTACTCGAGGGTGCGGTTTTTACAAAGATCATATGATCGATATTGCCTGGCGTGTAAACATCGGCGGTCGTTTGCACTTGTATCATATATTGAGAATTTGGAATCAAGTTCCGTAAGTCGTATTCCGTCTTATTGTAAACGAGGATTTCGGTCCAATCAGTACTATTAACGAGGCCAAAAGAACAACTAAACACTCGATTGATCTAAAAAAAAATGTATCGTTTTATTCGGCATAGACATTAAGAATAATAATTGTACAGATATCATGTTTTGTGTCTTGAACCGTTTACCTTGTACAGAATCTTGTAACTTATAGGTGCATCTATGTGCGAATCTCTCAACTCCCACGTTAAATGTACACCTGTGTTTGTATCGTGGCTTTTGGCTTTTATATTTTTGATAGCGATATCTCCTGAAGAGCAAAACAAACACGAGTAAGCGTCTTTGCCGTATGAAATAATGAGTTTGTATCTTTGATCCACTTACCATGTTCATAATTTGTAGTTGCGTTGAAGATTTCTGACGGTTCGACGTGACCTAAATCTGTCACCGCTGTTAATTGGACAGTATAAACGTGGCCCGGTATTAAGTTTTCAAAAACATATTTAGTGGACGTACTATTTGCTTCTTCGTACAAGTCTTTTTTCTCGTCGAAAATTAATTTCAACGTGTACTTGTTGATTCTGCATTCAAGCGAGTTGCCACTGTGGTACTGTAAATTTATAGATTGGAGGCATTAGATAGAATGGAAATTTTAAGATATTATCTTCAGCCATTATAACATATTCATAACGATATTACTTTTTCCCAAGTGACGTTGATATAATTGGCACCTCTCAAAAGTTGTACTCCGTAGTCGATGTTCTCTGGGACTGAAACAAATCATTCATATTTTTACTATAATAATGGTTTCTCGTTCAATTATTTTTCCTAAAGCATTTTCAGTAATATGTCTTATAAAACCCTAAGACAACCGTATTAAGTCAACATTCGGTAATGACAATTTTATATACATTTTCTGTTCTGATAATAAAAGTCAATAATAATGGAGAATCAAATAGATGCGTTTTTTTAGCATGGAACATGATTTAGCTTTAGTCCCCCAGCCAGAAAATGACACTAAATAGTGACATTAAATTGTAATACTAAAGTAGCGCGCCTACTTTAAACGTGTAATAACATATACGATGCCATCGAAATATTAACGAGTCGTAGGTAGTCGTTATACAATAATACAAACGTTTAGCCAGGCCATATAATTAAGACTATACTTAAATCATAAATCGCAAGGAGATTAAAGATAAAAAAATTGGCATTTTTCAGCCGAGTCTGCAACCACGAAAGAGCATTTTCATGTCTCGTTGAAGTACCGAATACATTTAGAGTAGTGGTGGAATTATAGATAATGAAATAGTATATTGACAAGCAGTAACAAGCTAGGATCTAAGGGGGCTAGTAAACGTATCAAGTTTCTGGCTAATATTTTAGTGTTTTCATAATATCTGCCCTAAAACTATTCATAGGAATATGACCTCTTAAAATATTGAATTTATTTTTCAGTTCTACTTTAAACGTTGTGAATACAACATATATGCCCCCAACCCTATCTCCACAACCAGTTTTTATTTAAGTTAGTATTTTTAACATAAAATGATTTTAAACATAGATATTTCATTGGGCTGGATAAAAGAAATTTGAAAATTCATTTCACCATTTTCGTGTTACACTTTCACTTTCAGTTAGAGATAAGAGATTAGGGATAAGAAAAATAGTTACGTGATAAGAAATAATAGATATCCATGTTTTTTCATGGACCGGAGAAAATAATTAGTTTTTTTTAAATTAAGTTAACATTAATATGGACCTCGTTTTGTTCTCTAATTTAATAATGGTGTTTTTATTATGTTTATAATATAATTTTAAATATTTGAAGTTAAAAAAAAAGTTCATTATTCAGTCTTGAAGGTATTCACGTTACATTTGCTTCATATTTCGAAGCATCAAATATGTGGGAATCTTTTATACACTGTAAATGTTTTTAAGTTTTATATAATTAAAAAATAAATTGTTTACCAATACACGAAGTTCTATAATATGCCGTAGATACAATCTCGTCGTTGCGCTTTCCTTCTTCGGTAAATAATATTACGCCAAATATGTACTCTGTTTCCGAAAATAAATTATCTATTGTTTCTAATGTATACACAGAACTTCCTTTTTCTTTAATATCCAAGTATTGAAAATCTAACTCGCTTGTCGATTGCTTGGTAAAAAAAAAAGACAAATGTGTTATTCGCAAAAGTCTGCCTTTGGTATAATTGATACACATCCAGTTTTACCTTGTAGACTAATTGATAGTATAAAGGAGTTTGCTGTTGGCTTCCGCCGATATTCTCACTCGCAAAACTTAAATTGAGTTTAATAGAAGTAAAATCAGATGATACTAACTGTGGGGGATTGATCAACCGTGGATATGCTATAAATTAAATACATTTTTACATCAGTTTTCCTAATCGTGGTGAAAATGATAAATGAAAAATCATACTTTCGGTGCAGTTCGGTGAAATATAATTTCTTTTGCATCCACCGGTACATGTGCCCGTGTAGATATCGCATGAAATGCAATTCTCGTTACACCTTTGTTTACAATCACGACCGAACGTTCCTAATAGACACTCTGAAACAATAAATTGTTACAAATAAACACATTGTATATATATATATTATGTAAAGAAAATTGTCGTTTCTTTAGTCCTAATTAAATAAAAATAATTAAAGTTATAAGCTCTTTTCTTATCATATTAGATACACTTGATATGATAAAAAAAGAGAGGCTAGGATTACTTTTAATTTATATAATAATATTAAATGAACGTGACTATATTGTTAGCGAAATAATAAAATCCTAATTGTAAATTAAATTTGTAAGGACGCATAAAAAACTTTAAATTCTCGTTACCTATTGCTGTATTAAAATATAAATAATAAAGCCTAATAAGAAGGCGAAAATGTTTTAAATAAACTTATATAAAATTAATTTAAATATAAGTTATTATAGTTATAACATAACAGATATATCTTAATCAAAATAAAATTTTTAATATACATTTTAGTCGATATTTTCAAAAATGAAAAATATATTTCTAATAAATGTCAGTGTAAGAATTACTTTGAAAGTTTAACGGCATCCTATGTGGAACAAAAAATCCTTTAAATAATTTTTCGAGTAGTTAGTATTTTAAGATATGGAAGAACCATTATTTTATGGTTCAATTTCTATTTTCTATGTACAAATTTATTAATGCTTTACTTATCGCACACTTAGATCAAAACTGTAATAACTCAAAAAGTGGGTATTTTTAGTTATTTGTATATTCGGATTGTACAAACAAAGTTGCATTAACCAACAAAACCAATTTAAATTTATCTTGATTACTTTCCATAATATGGCGCTGTAAGTACCTTTTGTAAAAATGATTAATCCCATAGTTTCTGCCCAGACATCAAGCGGAGTGCACGTACGTTGGTTGTACAAAATTGTTTTATTCAAATAAACAGTTAAAGTTTAATTAACAAGTTAAAGTAGTTAAGCTTGAAAATAAGTTTTTTGGAATTCCTGAAAAATTGTGTTTTTATGTTGCTACAGTTTTGATCTAGGTGTGCGATATATGTATACATATATTATTTCGAATAAACAATTAACGGTGTTAAATATTACTTTGGTCACAAAAGTCTCCAAAATATCCAGATGCGCATGAACATCCATAACGTGTAGTACAAAATAACTGTCGCTCACAAAATGTGTTATAAATTGAACATGTCCCAGAACAATCTGCTCCAAACCTATTCGGGTCGCACTCTAAATTCAATGTAAAATAAATAATGTAAAATTTAAATTGTTTAATAAAAAATGTATTTCATAAAAATTACCTTTTTGCAAACGCGTTGAATCTACTCGTTTCTTTCCTAATAATATTCAAAGTTTAAACATAAATAAATAAGAACGTGCAGCAGCCTTAATAGTATATTTACCAAAGTTAGTTTGAGTGTATCAAATAAATAATTCAACTTTATTTTCATTGAATTATCCTATCGATTAAATGTATAAAAAAGTATTTATTTTGGTGCAACTTTTTCTTCAACTTAAGAACTAATATTACTATTGAAGGTGCAGTGTATCAAAATTTTGCATTGTTACCATCAATTTGATAAATGCTGGCTGCAATGTCATCTTTCTTGATACGTATCCCAGGTATTACATATGAGTCACTGTCTTCTATAATAAACATACATTTTTTTTTTATATATTATAGATATTATACTAAGCAAAAACGGTTAAAAAAAAAAAAAAATTCTAGTTAAGGCATTTTTGCTTAGGAGGGCAGTATAAGTAAGTAATACCATGTCTTTGATAATGGAAAGACCAAATGACGAATTTAAAGCTTTGATATAACTACCAATCACTTTTTCAATATTGCCAATTCATGGTATTTTTTTTTATGTAAAATCATTAAAGTTGTTAAATTTTCAAATTTGTCGATTTAAAAAATGTAAAATCCATATCAAGCGATAAAATTAAAAATTCGTATATTAATAATTATTAAAATTTAACGATTTGTAATTCTACCTGTCTTGCAAGGCAGATATTGTAAGTTTCAATGATCTAATTAGAACTCATTAACTAAATTATGACAAATCAGTAAGAACTATTATAGTTATTAATATCTTAGGTCATATTTAAAATTTTCCAGTCTTCCTACTTTCCTTTCATTTATCTTCCAACCATTCATCTATTAAATTTGTACAAATATAGTAGATTCATTGTATACTTACCATCGCATTGAGCTATTCTTTTAATTCCAAATATTCTATAGCTACCATTCTTTGTATCTGGACTGGTAATTACTAAAAAATAAGTTGTATTTTTAACAAAAAGATCATTAGTCCGTAGTTTTAATGTGTTCAATCCATCCTGTAACCAATATTTAAATTAGTAATATATTAGTTATTTACCAAAAATCATTTTTTATCTAATTAAATGATTTTTTTCAACTTATATATAATCTAAATATCAGAAACTGAGCATCAAGAGTAAATTAACCGGCCGATAATAGAAAACTTTCATCTTCCCACTTTAAAATTGGGGAATACCCCATAATAGTTGACATATTTTGCAACTTAAAAGTAGGACAGTATACATATTTTTTGAAAAGAAGTTTTCGAGGTCGATAGGTTTTAATTTCGCAATTACAAAATTACAGAGATAAATGTAAAACCCAAATTTGCTGGATGAAAACTAAAACTTTTTTTTACCAGTAAATATCTAAAAATATAAGATTATAACCAAATTTTTTGTTTTTATAGTGATTTATATTGATTTTGTTTAGGTTATTTTTAAAGGTTTTAAATTATCAACATAATGTCATAAAAAAATATTTTTTATTTAATTTATTTTATCTTTTTTAATTGTAATATATCCTAGTTAAACGTACTAAGTTCCGTATTTTTATTAGTAACAAATTAAACGTTGTAAAATTAAAATTAAAATTCTATTTTTATAATTAACTAAATTAATAAATAAAATAAACACATTGAACTAGTTACCGGTTTACTGATTTTATATGATATCATTGGAATGTTATTGTCTTTTTGGTAAATTTTTACATTTGCCTCATTGTCTGCTTGGTCTTCCCAATTATATGTTAGTGATATACATCCTTTAGATGTTTTATATGGTGTCCAACTGATGTTTAAAGAAGCAAATACGTTTAAGTATTTACCAGTGATCAAACCTCCAGCAGGATATATCCTTTTATTAGCTGCAAATTGATAATGATTAATTTTTTAATTATTTGAAACAACTTCTGAACAGCATTTGAAACATATTGCTTTAAAATTATTACTACAAAATTTCAATGTAATATATTATAATGTTAATTTGCAAAAAAATATAAGAAAGTGGGTTTAAATATTGTACAACTATCCTGTTATCTTTACTATAGAAAAACCGCAATCATTTTGTTAGTTTTAGGGACGGCATTAATAGGGAAATGTGATATTGAAAATGTTTAGTGTGGAGGAAGTTAATTTTGTCTTCGAAGCGGGCTGACATAGTAATGGTACGTTTTATTTTTTTTTTCGTTTTTCTATCTCAAACCTCGATATTTTTTAAACTGCTGGACCTATGTCATCGCAATTCTATAGAGTATAGAGTGTAAATCATTCCCAAAAGGTATTTAAAAAGGCCAATTATGAAAAAAAATTAAAAGGATTGTAATTACAAAAACGTATTCTATGTTAAAACTTACTATTCATAAGGGAAACATATCCCCTCAGTACTACAAATGTCTCATTATGTTCCACGTGATTGTTTGTAAAAATATTATTGGAATACTCATAGTCTATTATGAATTCAAGATCATAATTTCGGGAAGTCAAAACTTTTCCATTGAAATATATGGGCATTCCAATGGCATTCGACCTTGAACTTACTGATACGTCATAGAAACAATCCGATGGTAATGTGCCATCATCTAACAATTTATCTGGTCTAGAACCTGTTCGAGAATGATTAAAAAAAAAAAATTAAAATTATAAAATTGAGCACAAAAGGTTGTATCAATAATATACAAACATTCGACGGAACCGTCGAGGGGATCTTGTAGCTCATAAATTGTTGTCACGTCATAATCATCTGTAAACCAAAATAAAGTCTTGAAAGTGTTTCACATTCAATAAAACGCTTCTATTAACATCTATAGACAGTAAACACATATAGTCGGGGCCAGGGCTCAAAACATTTTTCTGGCTTTTTTATTTTTCATGGTTGAATTTATTAGCATAACAATTTCAAATAAAAATTGAATCAATTTTATAACTAATTAGTAACGTACAATTGAAATTGGTAAATAATTGGGAGTACTAACTGACAATAAAAAGAGCTCTAAAAACATATTATAGTTAAATGTATACAATTCAAATGTTTTATATACACAACAATGGTCCAATTTTTATATTTACATTGAAATTGGTCACTAATTATTACACAGATTTACTTACCTAAGTCGTGGGATTTTATCTCAGATATGAAAACGTCGGCGAGTGTATCAGTACACAATATTCCGAATAAAATAAGTAGTACAACATTATTATTCATAGTGACTTTAAATAGAAACAAAATTGGATATTTTTAAGAAGAATAAACAACCTATGAGAAGGTTGTCTACGGTACTGAGTCGAATATTGTCAGTAGTATGCTTTTTATATTATTATTAGTAATCAAGCAGGTACTTTGTTCCGAACACTATATAATTGCTTCCTCGGATTTATTTATTTTACAGTTGTTATTTTAACACATTTATGCTGATCACAAACAATCAATAGTGCATAATATACTTTAATTAGTTTCTTGTGTAAAGTACAAGTTATATAGCATGTTATATGTGTAGATAAGTCATAGACCATGTATAAAAAATGTTAAAATCATCGAATTAGATTTGATTATACAAGAATAATTAATTTCTATGTAATTTTTACTTCTAATCTTTTGTATTAAATAGCATGAAATGTAATTCTATAAATATTTAGACCTTTTAATTTGAAAATCATGTTTTTTAAAAAATTATTAGGTAGGTTATCAGATTGACTTAAGTGACCTTGATTCTGCAACACAAGAACATAATATAACACTTTTGTTTCGATTCGTAGAATACATGATATATTATTTGCTAAATTAGTAACTACATACATTCTGAAATAGTTACAACGAATCTTTAAAATAATCAGCGTAGATTGTACAAGTTTAATAATAATAAACAGGACACAGCTTACTAATTAGTTCTATGTGTTAGACAGTTGATCATTAATATAAGGTAGAACAATAAAAAATAAATAGCCTATTCTCCAATAGCAATAATAATAATATTAATGTACAGTTGTGTGTAATGTCTTAGTGGCACCCCCTGAATTTTCACCTGCTGGCGCTCTTAATTTTGAGTAATCTACGTTTTTTTTAATAAAAGTAATTCAAAAAATGAAATTATTATAATTATTCGAGGGAGGCAGAGTTGGATCTAAATGACCCATTTAGCTTAAACATAAATATTAAGTAAACATTTTATTTGGTATGAAACAAAAGAGTATAAGTAACTTTTACAATATTTTACATATTACGGAGAAAATTTTAAATTATATTTTTTATGTTTTCTTATGGCTGATGTTTATTAGTATTCTATCTCTTTTAAAAATTGATGGAAAATGAATTAAGAAACAACCACAAATATAATGATATTGTATGTTAAAAATTGGCTCTTTATCACTTTATTAACTATTGTATTCGAGTTTCCAATTAAAGGTATTTTAACACATTAATTCAATATTCGACATCATTTATAGTTTTAGTATTTGAAGTTACAAATTTCAATGTAAATATAAAATATATTGGATCTTCGATGGTGACATATAACGTTTACTAACAAACCGGAATTTTTATCTGGACACAAATGTAAATAAATGAGGAGGTAAGAAACTGGTAAAAATAATTATCATAAGACTTATTGCAAAAAAAAAATATTTTCTATGCTATCTAAATGTAATAGTTTATTATCAAAATAATTTGACAGCAATTAAAAATTTAAACAATATAATATGTAAAACACTTTCCCACGTTCAATTTGAAAATCTAACATAATATTTCTATGGTGATTCATATAAGTATAACTCAGTACACCAAGTATAGCAGTAATAAAATTATAGGCTTAACTTAAATGTTAAACCAGACTGGTGAGAACGGCCGCATAGTCGCAAAATGTTTGTACAAATTAAAAATATATAAACACACAAATGATTGAAGCTGCAAACCTACGATTATTATTTCTACATATTTTAGATTCGATTATAAACTAGGAAATATTGATATTTGAATGTTTTTTTTTTTGTTTCCTTTGTGCTAAATTTACATTGAAAGTAAATTCGCGGCCAGTCCAATTGTACTTATTTAATAAATACTATTTATGTTATCCATCATGTCCGTACAGTTGTCACAAATAATAATATGAATAGCAATCTGTCAACTGGAACTGGACAAACTATATTATTGACGTTTCTGTCATAGCTGAGAATTTGCTCGGTAATGACCACATTGTTGTGCTAACCATAAAGTTCTCATAATAATATGTATAAGCCGCAAATGGCCATCGACCTAAGGTTTTAGTTCTTACACGCTTGTCCGTTTCGTCTTACGTCATGACTTCAGCTTTGTCTGTGTGTTTTATACTAGTTATGAGTGTTTAATTTCGTTTCGTTACCACTTGTTGATTTTGGATCCCAATCCCGGTTAATTAATAGCAATTATGAAATGAAAACCAACCGTACTCCTTTAGGAGTAGGGTTTTAATAATAATATCCAACCACAGGGTTACATTTATTTGTTCGCAATTGTTAACTAAGTATATTAAGATGCTTTTCGTGCAACTTTTCGGTCGCTTTGGCTGTGTTGATATTCTTAAAACCAATGTAAACATTTCACAAGAATCCAAACCCGGTGTATAAAATATATATATATATATATATATACATAATATTACACATTATTTATTTCATGAACGCAGCTGATGTTTACTTTGAGTTTATTAACACAGTTCTGACGTATGTTGTATATTAATTGGACATTACTTAATGGTTTAATAAATAATGTTTACAGATAGCAAAATAATATACACCTATTGCGAATAATTCAATGTCTTCGATTTGACCCCGGCTTCTGCCGTCTTGTCTTTTGGCACGTTTCCGAGAACAGACGAACCGTGAATTATTTGTGACTTTGAGTTTCCTTTTTTCTCAGTACTCTCTTTTCGAAATTATTAGTTTTCCAGCTAAGGTTATATCTTTTCCAGTTGCATTTCGTAGAACTTGTTTGTCAAACGCGACAAAAGGTACCTATGTTTCAAACTTTATTGGTTTATATCTTCCGAGAAGTAAGTAATGAAGTGACGTCCTTTTTAAAGATTAATGCAGAACACATACGAGCCCTATTTCCGTCCAATATCCGTATAGAAATATCCATAAGCAATCACATCGTCTCTTAAGATACAGCACTTTGTATATTATTTTTCATAACTTTACAGAAAAGCAAAACAGTAATAAATAAGAAACCTCTTTTCAAAGAGCTTTTAAGCTTAAACATTTTTGTATATTAAATAATAATGTAATTTATTGCGTAAAGCTCTGTTATAACCAATACCTACAACAGTATAATACGGGTTGTAAAATAGGTTTTACAAATTGACATAATTGGAAATAAAAGGGGACAGCTGTATAGCTAGAACAGACTTTCTGCAAGTTTCAACTGTTAAACAATAATATTTTGTGTTACTTGTTAGCCCTAAATAATAAGTAATGACACACCACATAAATTACATAAATTACTTACATTTCTTAATTAATTATCTTAGAACTGTTTCATATTAAAAATAAAATACATTCTGCATCCTAACCTCACTAGTGGTGGTGATATGTAATAATTAGAGTGACCTACATTTCTTTAATTCAAAGCGTGACGCTAAGTTGTTTGTAGAGGGTGTTGTACAAATAAAACAATAAAAACTTAACTTCGTTAAAACTAATTATATTACTTTAGAAGACAGTACAATTTGGGTTTTTGAATTGTGATACAGTCTTAGAAGTACGTTCTTATTTATTTCTTACTTACTGATTTATTTATTTTGCTTCTCTCTATAGGGTTAGGATTTGAAAAGAAATTCTATATTCATCTATATCAGTTGCACTGTTCATTAAAAAACTGTTACACTGATATACCTGATCGGTAAGCTGACTTTTGATCTCTGGCATGTCTTTTCAATGATATTGGAAATCATAGCTTTATTCACTACTTAATTCTACCATTCCTATTTTCTATTAGTATTGATCTTTGATTTTTGTCATTTTTATACACTGTATTAGGTTTCTATTCTATGCATAAATTGTTTTCTTTACTAACCCTTTTATTATTTAAAGGGATAGTAGTAAAGGATAGTAATCCCTTTAAAAAAGTAATGCATCCACATTCACATTCGTAAAAAAATGAAAAGCATTCCTAGTGCATTACCAAAAAAACTATGTTTAATATTTACTCTTGTGCTGAATAGGTATAAAAATATAATGCTTTATTACTAAATAAATAAAGTAGCTGTAGGTAACACCTATTCATTTAATTTATAATAATATATCTTTTTATAGATGTATAGGTAGGTAAAAGATAAGCCCATGAATGGATTCTTTTCAAACACTGGTGTTAAATCTGACTTCCTTTCTCTAGTTGACGGTGGTCCTATCAAAATTAGTTTAATCTTTACAAAAGTAATTATAAAGTTAAAACAGACGTATGTACAAACTTATACAAATTATGTAAAACCGAGCTTTGTTGAGAATTTTTAACTGACATATTTTGTCACTTGTCATCTTACAGAAAAACAGCTTGCTAAATGCTCAACAAGGCTTCGCTAGACCAAGACTTGGTAAAAGTGTACGTGGAAAATTCTATGTCCAAGTATGGAAAAATGTCCAATATAAAATACTATTAGGTTAACACATTTTAATAATTATTATATGCGTAAAAAATGGGTTCATGGTATTTTATACATAATATATAGGTACCTAATAATAATATGGTCGCGAGCGGGTATTACAAAATATATAGTAACATCAATCAACTCGCCAATTTCGGCCTAAGTGAGATTTATTCCCACCCAAGCGAATGGAAAACATACATTATTTTCACACTATTATTACAAAAAAAAAAAAAAAAAAACAGGCCGTTCTGACCTTTTGCGTGTAAACGATTTCCGGTTAACGTGAGCGCGATTACCGTTATTATAGTTCTTAAATCACACCCTAAAAAGTGTATATATTATATTATTATATGTTAACACCTCTCGGGTGGGCAGCAGCACTCGAGTGCCGTGTTATTATATTAATTTATTATTATTCACTTGGCCCGAGTTTGCACTGTATTATTGGGGTGTGTTGTTGAAAACGATCAGGTTTATACCTAATATTATTGTTATTATTGTAATTGTGTGATTTGCATGCGCGCGTTGCCGATGGAAAACCACTGTTGCGCGGCGGCGGCCCTATACAGATAGGTAGGTAAAACAAAAGCGGTTTTAATGAAAATAGCGCTACTATATTATTATATTATATACAATATATAATGATATATATATATATATATGTATTC